AAAACTTTGTTGTTCTGTTTTTAATCTGCTGCCAACATAAAGAACTTGTATGATGGCCAGGCTACCTCATTTTTCTAATAAGGGGCGAAATACATTTTTTTTTGTGACGTTTACAAACAAAACATGGAATCGAAATAGAAGAGAGAGACACAACTTGCCCATGGATTCCAGGAAAATATAAAAACCAGCCGAGTTCGTTCAACTCGCAGTCCCAATATTCAGGATTTTTCAGATCAATTAGAGTCGGCAAGGTCATTACTGGCGCGCGTTTTTCGGATTTTATAGGACTTATCTGAAAACACTATAAGCAAAGGCAAAGTGCGTATTTACACAGAATATGTAATAGGGCTAGGTCTTGCGAAAAATCTGCAATAGTTGCGACGTTTCCTCACAATGCTGGACCGTGAAACCTTGGACTGTGATACAGACTCTCTTTCTCTCTCTCTCTCTCCCTTCCCAGAATTTTTCGTGTCGTCATCCAGGCCCCTCCTCCTCCCCCTTCTTTGCCTTGATCTTTTGTATCCTAAACTGGCTTACATAATAAAGTGCAGCCCACTTAGACGATAATGAGAAAGCCCAAAATTTCAATCGTCATAACCGATTATCGTATCTGAACTACTAGAAACTCTAGGAACTGATTGTTGTAAGCGGTACATTGTTGTATGAGGGTATCGTTGTAAGAGGGGTGTGCTGTAATAATAAAATGGCTTACATGTGAAACCTGTAGCCACAATGCGATCTCAGTGCGCAGACATTCTGTGCTTCAGCTGTGTCAGCATGACCAATACTTGGCCCTTTTCTTTTGCTTTTTTTTAAATTATTATTTCTAAAAATCAAGGCAACTAACTAATTGAATAATTTAAAATTAAGGAATGGTGATCAAACATGTTAAAAGGTTTAATCCATGCCCATTTCTAAGATATATAATTTTTAAGATTACCAGAATACAATCCTAAATTTCATGTAATGTTAAGCAGTGAGCAATATATATACTTCTAGCTAGTAACTACTGATCCAATTTTCTTTCAGATGCCTTGAGGTACTATGTCCACCAGCATTTGAACCCCGAGGCTGCCAGCCTGCAAGAGACCACGCTGTTCTTGTGCGGCAAATGAACAGCACCATGAAACACTTCCTCTCGGATCTAAACCGCACCGAATTGTGAATGTTTTTTTTTTCTTTTTTTTTGCTTTTAGTGGAATGTTTTGCCTTTACGGTTTTATATTGTGCCACACACTTCATGATTGTTGTTGTCTTGTCAGATTTTTTAATCTTTACAGTGTGATGCCTCGTGCGGTGCAGCGACCAATGCGGTGCAGCGACCAACGGGCGCTGCACCGCATTATGAATGTTTTTGTTGTTCATCCCAGCCAATCCACCGTTTAAAGAACGTCACGTTTCCTTGAGCTCCGCCCAACCAGAATGTAACTTGACATCCTCCCGGCGCTGAATTGGCTGGGGTGGCTGTAGCCTCCGCTGCGCTCGGACGAAAGGTGAAACAATGTGTTATCTTTAGGGTATTACGTTACGCCACACATTGAATATTTTTATAGTCTAGTCACATTTTCTTTATCTTGTTTAGTGTCTTAGGTATAACTCGAAGGCACCAGGCAATTTTTCTCTTAGTTCTAGTCTCGTCGTAATCTATTTTAGTGTTATAATATTCCAGGCATATTTTGCACATTCCCGAAAATTTTAATATGAATAAGCCATCAAAGTATATGTAAATTTAGGTATGTAATCAGTATTCGGAGACTAAATGGCGTTTTTTGCTGTTTGCCTTTTAGTATAATGTAAAGCAGGTTATGTGCAAGGTAAAATTTTCAAAATAAACATGTTTTTATTAAACGTTGTACACTTTAGATCATGATATAAAAAAAAACAAAGTTATTGAGCCCTGGATTTACCAATCGTTAATATGTTATTTATTTGTGTTAAAATTTTCAGGCACTTTCGAAATATTACCGAAATCATCAAGTTTTTGGCATGGAATGAGCCTATACAAAACCAGTAAAGGATTGTTTAAAGTTTCGTTAAAATAAAACGGTTGTGACAGTTTAAGGCCTGTGTTTTCAGTATGGTGAAACTGGATTTCGTGAGCACATGATAAAACCAGCCATACTTGTCACACAGGCACACTGGCTACACCGGTGTACCTGTGTGTCCAAAAGGCTGGTTTTATGATAGGCCCAGTGAATCCAGTGGTACCAGTGCATCCACATTACCCATGTTCGATAATCCAGTTTGATACTGCCAGTATCCCCAGTAAGATTACCAGTATTTCCAGTATATCCGTTTAATGATCCAGTTTGATACCGACCTAGTATTTCCAGTAAAACTACCCAGTTTGCCCGACCTATAATCCGGTTTGATACTGGCCCAGTATGCCGACTATGTAATTTTTTCCCATAGGTTAGCTTCACTTCACGGAGAGTGATATCCTTTGAGAGACGTCACACGCGGATGACGCTACAGGGTCACAGGTCATCGTTTCATTGAAGCATCCACGCCTACGCCATGGTGCACTGTCATAATTTCAGCTTGACTTGAGGTGTAGATGCAAGTAGCTCTTGACAAGAAGCTTTCTTAACCGCTTAGCTTCAAGCAAGAATGCAGTCATTACATTCGTTTACTAAGTAAACTTTGTTGATGCTGTGATAAAAAATGCCGTTTTCAATCGTTCTTCATCATGTAATTCTTGGCAAGTATTCTTTATAAATAATCCATTTTGCGGGGATAATTACATCACGCACAATTTCGTGCTTAAAAGTAAACCCTCTCTCGATAATTATACACCTACAGCGTTCTTGTATTTTACATCATTCATTTTATGAAACAATATTTCACCAGTTTAAGAAAACCAGCTTTCTAACCCAAAGGTCGTGCACAGTTGACATTTAAGACAATGAACACGCTTCCATCAATAATAACTCGTTGCAATGACGGTAACCCTCCGCATATTCCTTCTCTTCCGCGCTTTAGAGCGGCCCCGATGGCCTTCTCTTTCGGCCATGCGGAAAGAGCGCTGAGGCTTTCCTAGTATAGGAGGTGTTGCCTGACCCCCGCTCTAAGGTAAGCAACGGGAAGGGGTGACCGCAGTCGTAGAAACCAATCTCGTGCCTCCTTGCTGCAGACGCGACACTCCGAAAGCAATTTAGAGGACTGCCGCCGGTGGCATAAAAAGTGCAAACACACCCCGGTTATTGATCTGTCGATTTTCCTTTGGCGTTAGGAATTCTGACGCAAGCAAAAACGCAACATCGCAAAAGACACACGCAGACAGAGAAAAATATAGTGCCTAATCCCAAAAGGAAAGGACGATGCCACCCCACCCCCGCATCAACATGCTATGCCCAGACAGGGCAAGGTAAAGGGTCCAATGCAAGATTAAACAAAATGTTGACACGTTTTCCTTCTTTTTTTTCACAAAAAAAAAACAAAAAAAAAAGTTTTAATTGCAGTAGTGACGGCCGATGAGCAAAGGAGAGAGACTTAAGCCCGGGTTCTCAAACAGATTTAGGGTTGTAGTCCTGGACACTACAAGGCCCTTGCTGGTTCCTGTACACGTTGTGGGAAGAAGGCGTGCGGTTCGGTGTGGACGGATATGGATAAGCAACCGGTATAATAAAAGATGTTACAGTTCCCTTGTGCCAAGACTTGAAAGAAAGCTGGTGCACGCTACGCTTGTTGAACCAATGCAGGATTGTTCATAGTCCTCTAGTGCAACTCCAGATATTTCTTGTGATATGCTAAGATCGCTGAACACTACTATATTTTAAACTCTTAACTTGTACGCAAACCCCGCTATACGAAAGTTTTAGAGTGAGTTGAGCAACATCCCATCCTGTCATTTACATAAATAAAGGTAGCCTTTACGTCTATAATATTTTTGGCTTAAAAAAAAAAGAAAGCTAAAAGATCTTGTGCTATATTTTGAACATTCCATGTACCGTATTTTCCGGACCATAGTCACAGGGCCGAATTCGGGGTCAGAAATAAAAGAGTTTGCTTATATAGTCCGCACCCGTTGAATAGTCCGCACTTAGTGCCTAATCCGAACGTAAAAATTATCATTAAGAGCACACCGTGACAACTGTCTGCTGCATTAGCTCGCAAAGAAGCGTGCATCACATATAAATCACTATTATTATACTCTCTTACTGATAAAATCCTTCGCGTCTTGTCACAGTGAGCGATGTAGAAAAACACAAAACCCTGTAAAATTTCAACTTTTAAAAAGTCCGCGGAGTATAGTCCGGAAAATACGGTAAATATCGGCTGGCAAACTGCAATGGTATTCGCCTTAGTTCAGTAAAATAAAAGTTAAATAAAAAAATCGCCCAAATATGTTTTGTTTGTTTTTTAGGGGTTAAAAACATTAGACACGAAAAGGCTATACCTTAGTAAAAACGACACTATGGACAGGTCTTCAAGGCGTCCTACAACGTTCGTATTGAAAGGATGCGCACAAAATATTTTAAAAAGTCGGCTAATTCATCTGCGTTCATAGCCAGTTTGGCCCATTTAAAAAGTGACTTGACTCGCTCAACTGAACAATACTGCGTTTGTTTGAAACGTGGAGTGCGCACCATGTTTTTAAAGTATCGGCGCAAGTTAGCTAAAACACCATGCATGTTTTGTTTTTCTTTTTTCTTTTGCAGTGGGAACGAAATGAAAGCAGAGGTTTTTCCAATTCATTTTATTTCCAAGGATGCAAGACACTACACGGTGACAGACGTTTTTTTAATGCCAAGTTTGCATACGCACTGCTTTTTTTTAAAACTTTTTTGCCTTTATTTGGTGAAAATCTTTTTTGTGTGATTGTGTTTTTATCCCATGCTTTAACGTATCTGTGTACAGGACGGTGCACTGCTGTTCAGGCCACTTTGCTGTTTTCAGGCACGCAAAAAAAAACCATCTCTCTATCTATCTATCTATTCCCTCACCTCCAGACCTCCAATTGAGAATCACGCCCTTTAATTCTGGGAAATTGACACGTATTACCCTGTTAGGGAGGTATTACAGGTTATTGGATTGTAAGCTCTAAATACTGGCTCTCCACAGGTTATCATGAAGGCGAGAACGCAGTCGAGGGAAATCTGTTTCCATGCGATGTCTTGAAACCATCTTTCAATGTCATCTTCTACGTAAACTTTTAGGTCTTCTTTTTGATCATCTCTCGCAGTGCAGTTGTCATAGATTCCCAATGTTTCCTTATGCTCCTTATAGAGTTCCTTTTCTTTTTTCATTATTTCATTTGCCAGGTCATCCACTATTTTTTTCAAGTCGGTTTTTCTCAGCCACAAGTCGCATCCTATAAAATCGACGAGATACCAATTAATCGCGAACATTGTACAGACAGATTTGGGCGACAGTGAAGGTACTTAAACGTGCGACAGCAAGTGACTCCAAATGAAAACGAAAATAAGTTGCGGCGCGGAGAGCCGGTGTAATTTGACATAATAAAACAAAAATATCAGTTGTCAGTCAGCGCTTGTCGTATGTACTACTCTTCTGTCTGTCTCTTTTTGTTTCTGTTTTTTTTTGTTTTCTTTCGTTAATCCTTCGTCACACAAACCGTTACTAAGGTAAAGAAAGCTTAGATACAGTGGCTTAAAAAGGGTAGTGTAGTTACCGCATAGCCTCCACCACGCAACGGGGACGGCCGCTTTTTGGAAGACGGTGTGGGTGGCGCTTAGATTCGCAGCTTCGTTAGGGTGCTTCCATCGACCGGCAGATAGAGGCACCCTAACACGCTTCATAACTAATATAAATACCTCAAAAACAGTTATTTGTTTCCAGTAAACTTCAAACGACATGGTTCGTGTTCGTAGGTGAATAAAAATGTGAAACTAGCACACAACAGTGTAGTCGACAGCTGTGAACCGGGCGGAGCCGGCCGGAGCCAAGCTGCCCAAGCGGCCAAGCCGGAGCCATAGCCGGAACGACGGTGCTGCAAGCGCCAGCGCCACCCGCGGCCGTCTTCCAACGCTGTGCCGCTTCTCCTGTTTCGTTCGTTACACTACTCCCTTTAAGCCACTGTAGCTTAGATAAGCATACTGTTTTCTCTTATGACTTTAAACCCCAGACCCGGGCCGTTTCACCCCACGCCAATAAAGCAACAAAATACGAATATCTCACTGAATGGGAATCAATGTTTTCTTGAAAGAGGGAGGCAAAAGTGGGGTTTAAATAATCTTTTTTTTTTTGTAGTTAAGGTTTAGCTTATTATTCTGACACAGCGTTCTATAACTGTCAATGTTATATTTTAAACATTATATTTTAGGCATTCTTTCGATATTTATTTGTATTGTGTCCAGAAACAACCGAGGCTTTAGTACTGGTACACACTCATACCTACACATACACGTTCATCAGGAAAAACAACAGAGCATAACAAAACAGACAGAAAAGCCGAACACTGATGTTATCAAATGTGGATGATTTCTATACTTTTCAGATCCAACTCACTCCCGAAAATGTCAACCACCGCACTGAGTGCATTAAAATATCTTTAAATTAGCAAAATGTGGCTAATTAACACATGTCTTGCACGTAGAAAGTGTTGTGGTGACGACAATTCACGGGAGGTACATTTAAAGAAAGCAAAGAAACAAGTTTGGGGCAACGTATTCTGCTACGTGCAGTTTATGACAAAAAATGCATAGTCTCGATAATTCCGGCATCAGAATTGGCAAGTTTAGCCGAAGTAACATTGACTCGTAGCTACAAAAAAATCGGGTGCCGTAATAATAGTCGTATTCTGTATGTGCCAACCTCCTCTGCACAGGTTCTTGGATAACAGGGCTGGTCAGTCCCAGGCAGTTCGAAACTACGGAGACAAACTCTAGTTTGAATTGAACAACAGATGCATAAAGCCTGACGAGGCATGAAGTCTCTTTAAAATGACGGGTCATAGCGAACACAAACCTAAAAGTCACAATCAAGAGCTAACCAAATTTGACAGATGATTTAACTAAGGGATGGATCAATGTAATCTCCCAAGTCATGTACGTGATATTCACGTTGCAACGGTTGATGTTCATGTTTATACAAAAAATTAACGCACATTTCTTGCGTGACAAAAAACACAAGTGTTCTTTACTGTTTAGACGTAATTCTTGTTGCGCTCCATGATCAGATAGCAGGTATGTCCTGCAGCAGTTCGCAATCAACATGTGATCTGGGTTCGTTTGAAGATCATAATTTAATCAGCAAACTGAAGCAAATTTGAATGTTTTACACAAAGAGACACATCAATGGGAAATTGTTCAACGATAAGGGTCCTACAATAGAACCCTGAAGAACGCCAAATGATATGTATGATCTCGATAACACACTGTTAACATGAACGTTGTTGATGCGCCAGGAAAGATTTGATGAAACCACGAACATACCGGCAAACGCACCTCATATTCCGATAGCTTGTTCACACATAGATCATGGTGCACAAGGCCAAATGCTTTGGTTCAGTCAAAATAAATGGCATCGACCAGCCCATATTTGGCAACTAATGTGGCTAACGCCACTTAGTCTGCTAAGTTAATTTCAACACTTTCAGACTTGACAAAACCTTGTTGCAATTAATTTAATATTTATTTACAATAACTAGAAATCAGCACGTCTAACACGCTCTCAGACAGTGTTGAGAATGTGGTAAACATACATGATGTTTCATTTTAATTTAATCATATAGCAAAAGGCATGAAAGGTACACTAATGTTGTTTGTGCAGATGAGTTTTAAAATCAGGGGGTAATGTTAGAGTGGGCTAACCGTCACGATAAGTCGGACGATTAACTAAAACTTGCTAGGCAGCTTTTTAGTTAGTGAAAATAAACGTATGGTTCCATTGGAAACTTGCTGTCGGTGATTAAGAACTACTAAATTATAAAATTCTAGGAATTAATTCAAATGTAAAGTGTGGAGGTGCGCTAAAGTTAGCACTCGTGCAACCCGCACAAGGCTGGCGGTACGAAACGTGGATGACTACCATCTGCGCAACACAGGAACAAACTTTAGTATATATTATTTCATGTTGGCTTGTTAAAGAGCAAAAACTACGGCCTGCTCGAGCCAATCAGAGTGACGGCGGCGAGGCACGTCACGCAAGGACACAAGGGAGAGAGCGTAACCCGAGAAGTTGGAGAGGAGAGGAAAAAGGAGCTTCTCTTTTAACCCGAACCCTCTTTTGTGTGTCTCAGACGTCGTTGTTCTCCCCCTCGGAGATTAGCCCGCCACAAAACATTAGTTCAAAAGTGGCTTCCCCCTCTCTCTTGCTCATGACTTAGACAGCCCTGCGTGTAAATAGCAAGATAGAGTATAGTCACGAGTCTTGCTCTTACGCGCTGATTGGTTCACTCGGGCACTAGCCTTCGCCGTTTGCCAACCTAAGGTGATGCAAGAATAGATGCAGGTGTTTATGTCACTGCGGGAAGCTAGATGGCTGGATGGTGTTCCCTTCCTAAATTAAATCTTCTTATTATCGCTGACGTGTGCTATTCACTTTTAGGGATTTTGTTGCACAAGCGATGCATAAAGAATCTATGTTGTTGTTGTTATTGTTTTGTACTGGGGTCCACCTCTTATACTCAATCATCTTGCAACTTTCCACTTAGCGCGAACTTACGTTGAAATTAAGTTGCACTAACATTATGAATGTATCTGAAATCACACACGACACCAGCAGTATAAGACATTTCACTGCAGTCCTGCGAAGTCATCGTCTGCAGTCGTAATTGAACACATGTTGATTGTGGGCGATACTGGGCAATGTTTGGTGCACTCGTTTTTAGGTTTTTAGTTCCAAAAAAAAACTTTGTTACCAAGAATACCCCTGTTCTTGTTAACGTATACACATGGGCCTTCGAGGCATTGAAAACTAGCAATGGGTTTAAACACGACATCTCTAAACTGGACATACCACAAGACGTAGAGTGTATCTTAAACAGGTAGGACGCGTCTACGCGCAAATCTGAATAAACAAATCGCAAAATAAATTCTTCCTAATACACTTTATGGACAGCTCCTTTTCTTCAAGATTCCTGCGCTAAGGAACCTTAATTTGGGTTTTTTTTTTTTCTGGTGTTATAAAGCAAACTGTAGCTGCTATAGTTATTTAAACTAGCGAAACGCAACACGATGCGACATTAATCTCGCTGAAGCTTTAATGACCTTACCTCCTGAGGTTGCGGGATTCCTAAGGATATGACATTGCGGCTCGTTGTATACGACATACATGTCAAAATCTTCAGCACTTTCCGGTATGTAGAACAATTTATCTAGAACATTCCCCGTAGAACTACCATAGTCCCGTGCATTTCCTGGGTGAGAAAATAATTTTCGTAATTCAAATTAGATATACCACCAACAGAAATAAGCTCCACGCTTGTCGAGCATAAAACCTGAACTTACCCCTATCAGGAAAGGGAGTACTTCTGGAATAACAGGTGGAGTTGTCCCACACAGCGTACGTGTAGCTTCCCGGGGGAACCGGAGTAGCATTTGGGAGTGTTCCTGATTTTGGGGTACAAAAGCAATTTAACGCATTTTTAATATAGTTTAGATGATTAGGCAACTGAAATCCTCCCAGGTTGCGCGCTAATCCTGACCTGACAGTGAAGCGAAGCAGTAAAGAAACTAATTACAACTATTTGAGTTACTGTAGTTAGTTACACTTCTCTAACTAAATACTTTTCAAGTTACAATAACATTTCAGGAACATCATGTAAACTATCGCTTCTAAGGAAATCTAGACCGCCTGCAAAAATCGGTTACTTAACGTATCGCTTTGCGACTTTCTACGGAGGTGCAAAAAGGGCGAGTAATTTTACAGCAAAAAAAAAAAAAGAAATATTCCTACCTTGTTTGAAGGGAAAAGAAAAACCTCTTCTGGGCAATCTAATGGCCAATTCGTCTAGGAACGCATGGCATCGGTGCAGTGCGGTTCGTGGTACACGGAAGGCTAGATGGGAGAGGGGAGCTATCTTCTCTCGCCGCCATTCTTTTGTGCACTAAAGTGGAAAGAGGCTACTGCACTGGACGGGTGCGGCGTGCCCCAGACGAATAGGCTATAAGCTGTCACTTAGCAGACGATGCACGCTTAGTGAGAAGTTTTGCCTACAAATGGCGTACGTCGCGTCTGGAGACGAGGAAGATGAAGGTGAACAAAAAGTAAGGGCGCAAACGAGCTGGTGTACATTGCACATGGTTGAAAAAACCCCGAGACTGCGGGTAAACGACACAACAATAAAAGTCTCTAGAGACTTTTTAGTGTTGTGTCGTTTACCCGCAGTCTCGGGGTTTTTTCAACCAAGATAAAGGTGATGGATCTAAGAAGGGGGCTAAAAGCAAGGGGACTTTTAACCGTTGGATCTAAGAGCGAACTAGATCGACTACAAGCCGCTGCGGAAGTACCTGGCGATATGCTGAGAACTGCACAGTGCGAAGAACCATCACTAGACAGCGACGGGGAACTGAGCGCCGATGTGTTGCTACCGGAGGGGCACCTACGTTCTCTTACCGCAGACAAGGAGGGTGTCGTAAGGGTCAGTGACTTCAAGAGAAGCTTTCTGACACCGCCGGAGTCACAGCAACCCCTGGTGAGATCTAGGACGGATTGCTTTTGTCTTCAAAACGGCGGACGGCCGCGAGGACCCAGTGCCGGCCAGAAGAAGAGATCAATGTGCAGGCTCCACAGCATGTTATAAAATTGATCAACAGTCCTAGTACTAAGCCGCTAGAACCTCTGACCATGATCTCCTGCAAGGGCTGCGCAATGCTAGAACAGCTGTGCCATACGCAGCAGAAAACGCTGGAGGAACTGGGGCTGCGGCTAAATGGCTTCGCCGAGCGTCTCCAGCAAACGGAAACGGATGGCAGCGATCTAAAACAACTGCAAAGAAGGATAACAACAATAGAGACACAGCTGAGAGAACTTACGACACGAAATGTTACCTTTCAAGGCATGGCGGCTGAATCACAAGAAGCAATACCTTCAACTAGCAACGAGACACTGCCCTCGATGTCGAAGGAGCAGTCGTGCAAATCACGTGTGTGTCTGGATGTCCAAGATGTCCATGACCAGCTGGACAACAGGATTACATTTAATAGGGCATCCCAGGAATATCTTGATAGCCATGAAGGTGTCAACGAACCGCAGGCGTTGGATACCTTTTTGAAACCAGTCGCCGAAAGACTAGATGGCAGCAGCGACATAGGGACTGACAAACACGCGGATGAACCTCACGACGCAAAAGACCTAGATGCTATCAGAAATAGGGACGCAAGTGGAGGCGTATCCAAGCAGTTTCGACCAGCAGGATGTTACAAGACTACTAAGGGAACGCCACAACCGAAGAGTCCTCCCCAGAGACCTCCCCAAGGTGTGACACGGGAAGTCCTGGTCGCTGGAGACAGTGATGTGGCGCGGATTGCTGACCTCTCCCAGTCTGCGGTAAACAACAGGAGCTGTGTGGACATACTGCTCCAAGGAAAGGCAGCAGTTGAACGAGTCCATGCAATGGTCGACGAATACGAGGAACATGCCCGTAGGATACCTCGTATGTACACCTTACATGTGGGATCAACCATCTGCTCAGGGGAGACAAACCAGAGGGTGTGGTGGAATGTCTCCAAAAAAGATGGAGTTCACGGAAATCGGCACTCACTATTTGTTCGGTCCCAGAAGTCGTGACCAAAGGAAAGAAAGCGCATGCGGTGACGATGCTGCTCAACGCCAAACTCAAAAGTCTATGTAAGAAGATACGGGCACGATACGTGGATTTAGGACGAAATATAGATGATCAAAGCACCATGGACACAGATGGCGTACAGTACGGGAGGATTGGAGCCCAACTAGTGGCCCAGCAACTAGCCTCAGTCGCAAGTCGTTTTTTAGACAGAGGAGCCGGAAAAAGCGTCGGCGGAAAAGGAAGACACAAAAGAAAGCTTTCGGACATGCGCGACTATCATTGGAAAACCGGTCAGAAGTGGAAGAAACCTCCTCCAGGCTTCAGCGATCATCTCCCAGAGAGACACCGGATCACTGCTTCCCACCTGATAAAGCCGTTACGCCATTTATATCACAGAGCCTCCGACGAACAGCCGCCCACAAATAACCATCGAGCGTCTCTTCCAGTCATGCTGCCCTCCAGGAAAAAGGAACCGAATGCTTCGGTGTCATATCTGGAACCGGCGCAGCTGGGACAACCGCTGCGCTACTCTGTTACAGTGAACCGACCGCCGGTGTGTGGGCTCACAGAGCAATCGCACACCTTAGACCCGGAGATGAAACTGCGTTCGGCGACAGAAGCTCCAGGGTTGCAGCAGTGGATAACCACACGTGCGCCACCATACGACCATGTATCGCCGGAGTGGCCTCCCGAAACGAAGCCACACACCCAGCAGAAGATGCTACCAAATGGAGGGCCCCCGACCCATTGCTTGCAGTCTCCGTTATTCCCGACAAATGCGCGTGTTGCTCCACTGTGCCAGCCTGTACTGCCTCATCCACAAGACCTGCGCAGTATGGTGGCAGATATTGTGAGGCAACAACTGAGTTACCTGGACCAATGGCACCGCCAGTGAAAAGGCTCACAGGCAAGGTGGTGAAGACAAGCGGCGAACGGAGTAAAAAAGACGGAGGCGACGTAGATGCAGTAAGAATACCACGGAGGCGGTTGCATTTCTCAACCTCCACGGAGCGCGACGGGAGCAGAAATGAAAAGAGCTCTACGGGGTAGTTGGAGTGAGAAGACATAACCCTCTTCGGAGTAGCTGAGACGCACCTTCGTGATCTCGAAGAACCACCGACTTCGGAAAGCTGGTGCTGGGCTGGACGCAACCGACTAGAGGGGACGCGTCGAGGTGGAGGAGTGGGAGTGGTGTGGCGTAGATCTTCCGTATGGCACAAGGAGCCAAAAGAGTGCTGAGATCACATCTGAGTAACAGGAGCGATACTCGGTATTCCGGTCGCCGTTTGCGTACTGTGCCCGTCGGTGGGAGCTGCCCGCCGAGAGGAGAACCAAGTGTTAATAACATGAGTGATGAATGATGCTAGGGCCCCGGCTGATACGAAATAACTACTCATCATGGGGGATTTTAATGGACATCTGCACGAACTGGATGGCTGGGAAGATGAAAATGGACGGCTGCTGCTGCAGATGAGTGAAGATCTCGCCTTGGAAGTATTTAATCTAAGAAGTTCATGTGAGGGTCAATTTACTTGGAATGCTCGTGCAAGATGTATTGATTACGCAGTAGTGTCACATAAACTTGCTCGTTATCTTGTTCAAGTCCACATAGGCGAGGCTGGTGAACACAGCATCGGAAGCGACCATAACCGAATTAAGTTAATATTCTCGAAAGCAACGTGGATAACAACAAGACGAAAGCTCCATCCGACAAAATGTCTCATGCTATCTTCAAGCGCAGTTGAAAGAGTTGTGGAGGAATTCGGAAACAGCACCTCGAGGAAAAGTGCTGCTGGCTACATGGGATACGTAGAAGAACTGAAGCAAATCATCCAGCAACACTCCACGAAGGCCCGAAATGGGCGAAGGCGGAGAAAGCGCTGGTGGGACGCGGAGGTCAAGCCGCCATTCGAGTACGGAAAGAACTGTTTAGAGAACACCGCATGGCCCTTCACATGGGCACCGGAGACGAAGTCGAAGTAAAATGGCAGATGTACCAGGCGCAAAAGCAAGCCGCAAAGCAACTTTTCCAGGAGAAAATGTTTCAGGCTGATTTGCACACAATCAGAGACATTAGCTCAAGCGGGAGAGATGCGCCTAGAAAGTTCTGGAGATACATTGGAACCCTGGATGGGAGAGATCAGAGACTGGCTATGCTTGACGAGAACACAAGGCTGACTGCAGATAAACTTATAGCCTTACAGACCACCTAGTGAAGATATTTTCGCCCCCGGGAGCAGCGCCACCTCAGGACATCTTACCACATCAAAATCCGGATGGTACTCCGGTTGATGTCAACGGTGAGAGAAATCAGCGGGGTGTCAATTGTACGCGCTTTGACTCACCTAAAAAGTAACACCGCACAAGGACTGGACGAGATTCCGACAAGCGTCCTCAAAGCACTAAAGAAAGGTTCAAGGGATCAGCTGGCAGGAATTTTTAACAGCATTGCCTCTGGAATAGAAGAAGCTCTCCTGGAGACTGGAGGAGAGGCAAAGTCGTTCTCGTAAAAAAAAAAAACGTTGTGACCAGCGTTACCTCTGCAACTACAGACCACTGACTGTGAACAGCACGATATATATAGAACTTTCGTGCATATTCTGAAGGAGCACATGGCTGCGTGGGCAGAGGAAGAAGTCATGCTTACGGAACTTCAAGCAGGTTTTCGACGATGTCGCCGGTTGGATTATTATGTGTTTACGCTAACACAATGTATTGAGGTTGCCCGCAAGTAGCAGAGGACTCTGATATGTTGTTTTCTGGACGTCGCCAAGGCCTACGTTCCCAGTTGATATGTCGACTACAACATCTTGACATGCGACC